AGGTTACTCTATATACAGTATCATGTTATCTGTAAATAATGACAGTTTCATTTCTTCCTTTCCAATTTTGATGCTTTTTATTTCTTCTTGTCTGATTGTTGTGGCTAGGACTTCCAAGTACTATGTTAAATGAGTGGTAAAAGCAGACATCCCCATGTTGTTCCTCATCTTAAGAGAAATGCTTTTAGTTTTTTGCCAGTTGAGTGTGATGTTGGCTGTGGGTTTGTCATAGATGGCCTTTAGTATGTTGCAGTATGCTCCCCATATTTCTGTTATGCTGAAAGTTTTTATCATAAATGGGGGCTAGATTTTGTCAAATGCTTTTCCTGCATGTATTGATAATGATTCTTTGATTTTTATCCTTCGTGGTGTTATGTGGTGTATCATGTTAATTGATTTGCAGATATTTTTTGCACCCCAGGAATAAATCCCACTTGATCATGGTGTATGATTTTTTAAAAATGTATCATTATATTATTTTTCTAAAATATATTTTATTGCCCTGGCTGGTTTGGCTCAGTGGATAGAGCGTCGGCCTGCTGACTCAGGGGTCCCAGGTTCGATTCTAATCAAGGGCATGTACTTTGGTTTACTCCTGCACATCTCCTACTGGGGATTTGCCCGCAACCCAGGTACATGCCCCTGACCGGAATCGAAGCTGGCACCCTTCAGTCCATTGAGCCAAACCGGCTAGGGCTCTGTCTTTTTTAATGCTTACTATCTAAGTTCTCACGGATCGTTCATTCCTTGAGCATCCTTATAACCATTGTTTTCAACCCTGCATTGGGTAGCTTGGTTGCTTCCATTTTATTTAGTTATTCTTTGGAGGAATGATGGTTGTTTTTTCATTTGGGGCATGTTTTTTTTTTAATTTATTTTTTGTTTGTCTCTGTGTATTAGGTAGATCTGCTGTGTTTCCCAGTCTTGTTATAATGGTCTTTATGTAGTAGATGTCTTGTGGGGCTCAGTGGCACAATCTTGTCACCTGAACTAGGTGCTCCAGGAATGTCTCTTGTGTGGATTATGCAAGCCTTCCTGTTGTAGTTGAGTCTTGAATGCCTCAGGCTGGCTGGCTATGAGGATTGGGGGTCAATCCCCAACCACAGTGTGAGCTGTTGTGTGGAAGCTACAGTACCATGCCACTGCCCCCTCCTCCCCCCTTTCTCTCACCAGAATTGGCCCCAGCAGGGTCTGATGCCTGTCAGGATCTCCCTTTGGGTGTGCCACTTCTGTGGCTAGTTGGGTCATGCTCTGGTGTAATCTAAAGCCCACCACTGGTTGTGTTGGTTCGGGGTCCACTTGGGAGGAACTTCAGTGCAGGTGGATGCCAGACGCTGCCTGTGACTGGGTTTGGGCTACCTGTCTGGAGCTACCAAGCAGTCTGCAGTTTGTGACTGTCTTTACTGAGCCTGCGTGCATGTGTGAGGAGTCAAGTTTTATACAAAGGTTAGCTTGGCTTCCACCAGCTCAGAGCCTGGGTAGATCAGTAATAGGCCCAAGGCAATTTGCTCTGCAGCCCCTGAGGTTGCTGGGGCTTCCTTCTGGAGAAAGTCTTCACCCAAGTTCTTAATAGTTGATTAGTCCAAACTACTATTTTTTCAGGAACATGAATTACATCTGGTTATATCCATTGTCTTTTAGGTTTTACCTTCTACTTCTAAAAATAATAGTATAGACCTTGTCTTGCAAGATGTTCTTCCTTCTGGATTTGGTTGCTTCCTTGTAACATTTAATTTATTCCTTTCTCCCCTTATATTTCCTATAATTTTGAAATTATAACTAAAAGGCTGATGGATTTATGTTAAACATTTTAGGGTAGGTGTTTTTAAGTTGAATTTAATATGTTGTTTTTTACCCTATAGAAATGTGTATGATCAATGGGAATTTGTTTTACACAATTTTTTTTTTTAATCCTCACCTGAGGATGTTTTTTCCATTGTCTTTTTTTTTTTTTTTTAGAGAGAGTGGGAGCCCGAGTGAGACAGAGAGAGACAATGAGAGACATGGATGTGAGAGAGAGACATCGATTGGTTGCTTCCCATATGAACCTCAACTTGGGCTAGGGATTGAACAAACAATTCAGGTACGTGCCCTTGACAGGGAAATCAAACCCACGACTTTTCAATATGCAGGGTGATTCTCTAACCACTAGTCAGGGCCACAATTCGTTTTAATAAGAGTATGTGAAGAATTTGCCTGTACATTAACAATGCACTAAAATATTTATTTTAAATAAAATATGCCCTAACCGGTTTGGCTCAGTGGATAGAGCGTCAGCCTGCGGATTCAAGGGTCCCAGGTTCGATTCCGGTCAAGGGCATGTACCTTGGTAGCGGGCACATCCCCAGTAGGGAATGTGCAGGAGGCAACTGATCGATGTTTCTCTCTCATTGATGTTTCTAACTCTCTATCGCTCTCCCTTCCTCTCTGTAAAAAAATCAATAAAATATATAAAAAATAAAAAAAAATATATTTGGGCTGAAGGCAATAAATGTGAATTAGTAAGATTTGCCTATACTCACTCATCTTGTATTGTGTCAAATATAGTAGATCCTTATGTTGTAAGTACAAAAGTTGAAAATAAGTTTTAAAATTTCAAATTCACAAATACCGCCACAAATAAGTTGTCCTATAAATAAAGCAAAACTGGAAAGAAGACTCCAGTGAGTATAACATAAGTTCAGTACTATATTGATAAAACTATTAAAATGGGATCTGTTGCTAAAATTTATGTTAATCATGAGCTTGCTCAAATTTGAACGTAAAAAAGTGTTTTTTTAGCTGAGACAGTGAACCCCACAAAGCTACATTGGGTAAAGATGCTGTGGCGTCAGCCAAACTCAATAGATATGTGACTCATCCTTTTCATACCAGCCTTGTAGCATGAGTTTAAAATTTGTGCTTTGGCAGTATTACAAATTACTATGCTATTGCCATTTGCATGGTTTCCAGTAATTAAAATTGCTGAAGATCGCCCCAACCGGTTTGGCTCAGCGGATAGAGCTTCGGCCTGTGGACTGAAAGGTCCCAGGTTCTGATTAAGGGGATGTACCTTGGTTGCAGGCACATCCCCAGTAGGGGTTGTGCAGAAGGCAGCTGATCGATGTTTCTAACTCTCTATCCCTCACCCTTCCTCTCTGTAAAAAATCAGTAAATATATTTTTAAAAAGTAAAACAATAAAACTGCTGAAGATCCATGTGTAGATGTGAAGGGATTAATTATAGTGGTTTCTAAGTGTTCAGGATGAGAGCTAGGCCAGAAAGTATATTCCTAGAAAATAAAGCCCCAGTTCCCATTTGAGACTGTTACTTCATAGTGTTTGGGGTAGAACATATAAGAATCTATATATTTAAAAGCTTTCTGGATGATTTCTGATGTATGCTTGTTTGTGAACTTTGGTTATACTATTAATTGTTCATGTGGCTTATATAAATAACTGTTTGACAGGTAATATTTTCATATCTCGAACCTCAATCCCAAATGCTGCCTCTGAAGATGGAGATGAAGATGAATGGATATCTAACAAAGTTATCTTTAAAATAGGTAAGAAAGAAAGATAACCAGATTATTACTATAAAATAAAAAGAGGAGCTGTTGTGTTTTAACTCTTGCCTGTATTTCTTTTCAATAATTCTAGGTGATCTTGGGCACGTAACAAGAATCTCTAGTCCACAAGTTGAAGAGGGTGATAGTCGTTTTCTTGCAAATGAAGTTTTACAGGAGGTAATTTTTCTCCTTTAATAATGCCATTTGTTTTGCAACACCATTTGCTGGAAGAATGAATATAAATGCAGATGTATTAAAATTTTAAGCTAGTAACTAGTAGAATAGCAATGACAAAATAGAAAGTCTATTAGCAAGTCAATAAAGGTAAGTTTATAATATTCAATGTGGTAGAGTTGTGGTAAAAGAGAAGTTTCCATACCCTACTGGTGGTACTTTAAAATGGTACAGCATTTTTGGAGAGCTGAATATTAGTATTTATCAACATTTAAAAGTCAAGTACCTTTTCATTCAGAATTTCCATTTCTGAGAATCTCCTACAGGAATATTCCTATTCAGACAAACCAAGAACAATGCAAAATAAATAGCAGCACAGGAATGATTAAGTAAATTAAGGCTAATAGTTAATAGTACTGTTTCAAAAGTGTGATGAAATATTTCTCAGTAAGAGTTTTGACTGGAAGTAGAACAAATAAATTATGATCATTGTTCTTTTTATGTATATTTGTGTCTTATGTGTATTTGTAGCTTTTCATGTATGTATGTTTTGTGTTTTCATATGAATGCTCCTAGAGCAGTGGTTCTCAACCTTCTGGCCCTTTAAATAAAGTTCCTCATGTTATGACCCAACCATAAAATTATTTTCGTTGCTACTTCATAACTGTAATGTTGCTACTGTTATGAATTGTAATGTAAATATCTGATATGCATGATGGTCTTAGGCGACTCCTGTGAAAGGGTCATTCAACCATGAAAGGGATCGCGACCTACAGGTTGAGAACCGCTGTCCTAGAGGGATAGGAGTTTCTTCTGAGATTTGAATTGGGCTAATGACAGGAGACATTCACTTTTAGAAATGTTTTTACCAACCCCTCCACCTCAGAGTGTATATTACTTTGTAATTAGAATAAATCCCCCAAATTTACTTTTTCTCTGAATAGGTCCTAAACTTAAATGTGGCATTGAACATTTTAATTTAGTCCTGTTTTTCACCTAAATCATTATGAGGTATAATCTTACTTTATTTTGAGCATTTTTATATTTCCTTAAAATTTTTTTATTTTATTTTACAGAACTATTCCCATCTACCAAAAGCAGATATTTTTGCCCTTGCCCTCACAGTGGTATGTGCTGCTGGTGCTGAACCCCTCCCCAGAAATGGAGACCAGTGGCATGAAATCAGACAGGGTAGATTACCACGGATTCCACAAGTGCTTTCCCAAGAATTTACAGAATTGCTAAAAGTGAGTATTTTTTATATGAGCACTTTATTGACATGGTTTAACATTTTATTAAATCACATGTTTTTACCTTAATTTTACTTCTCTTTCAAGGTTATGATTCATCCAGATCCAGAGAGAAGACCTTCAGCAGCGGCACTGGTAAAGCATTCAATATTGCTGTCTGCTTCTAGAAAAAGCGCAGAACAATTACGAATAGAATTGAATGCAGAAAAGTTCAAAAATTCACTTTTGCAGAAGTAAGTGAGGGTTTTTTTTGTTTTGTTTTTACTTTTTTGTGTTCATTCACAAATTTAATAATATGATAAAGGCTTTCTGTCAGTGACAAATATAGTGCTTTGGCATGTTATACAGTTAAATGTTGGGGGACTTCTGCCTTAAATTAGTACTTGACCTATAAATTTGTGTTGTGTCTAGACTTTGAAATTATTGGGCTACAAGTTTTTAAGACTAGCATATATTTGCAAGTGATGATAATCCCCAAGCCTCAAATCATAGCAAAAGCTAAGTTAGCCTATACCCCCCCAAAGTCTCAGTATCAATGAACATTCCTTGAAACTTTCCGTTGTACTAATTTTATTAAATTAATGTCAATTAGGTTAGAAGGTGATTCTTATATTTGATGTGAATGACCTTTGACATTTCAAAACTGATTGGAATGATAATTCTGATTCATTTGCTTTATTGCTACCATTTTGATTCTAAGCTAGTCTGACTTGAAATATGAAAAGGTTTATTTGCCACTAGTTTGTTAGATATAATTATTCATACAAATAGGAAGGATTTTGCTTTCATCTCTGTTATGTAAAGATATTTCACAATTACAGATTAGAGTTCTATTTGAAGTTTTTATTAAAACCCAGTCATGGAGGGAAGGTGGGGGAGGGTGAGTGGGTGGGAGGTAATCAAACAAAGACTTTGTATGCAAATATGCATAACCCATGGATGCAGGCAGTAGGTGGTGAGGGCTTGGGGTGGAGGACGAGGGGGGTGTTGGAGGGGGTTGATGGGAGGAAAAAAGAGGGCATACGTAATACTTTCAAAAATAAATATTTAAACGAAACAAAAATAACCCCAGTCATGCCCAGCTGGTGTGAATCAGTTGGTTAAGCTTTGTTCCATGCACCAGGACATCACTGGTCAGGGTACATGCCCAGGTTGTGGGCTCAACCCCCTTTAAGGGGGTGTGCAGGAGGCAGCTGATCAATGTTTCTATCTCTCCCTTTCTCTGAAATCAGTAAAGACATTAAAAACACAACAACAAAAAAAAGTCATTAGTAATGTCTTTATTACTTTGTATTTGATAGCACAAAATAAGATTATTTCATAAATTTAAGTTGTTTGAGCAGAAGCTAAAGTTTCATACTGTATTTTTCCTCTTCTCAGTTGCATGTTAGAATAATGATGCAAAGATCTTCCAGCTGATAATATAGTTTGTGTTTGGCCTCTTAGGATCCCTTCCTAGGATTAACACAGTAGGTGAAAAGTCTTGTTTTCTATTTTTGTGTTTGTAGAGAACTCAAGAAAGCCCAGATGGCAAAAGCTGCAGCTGAGGAAAGAGCACTCTTCACTGACCGGATGGCCACTAGGTCCACCACCCAGAGTAATAGAACATCTCGACTTATTGGAAAGAAAATGAATCGCTCTGTCAGCCTTACCATATACTGAACTACGTATTTCCCACCTCCCTAAAAAAACTGTGATAAGAGGAAGTTAAAGCTAGGTTGAAATCACTGCTAAAATCCAGTTTGCAATTACTTAAAATCGGTGTCAGTAGTTTTACTGAAATACTTTTTAGGACTTTTATTTGTGAATTACAGTTAAAAGCTGTATTTTGACCAGTGCTCTATCAGGCTTTCATTTAGTTTATCAGTTTGTCTTCTCTAGGATGTCAGTCACTGTTGGATGTTGCATCAGCCTTTTCAGGGTGAACCACTGTGGTGGTGTGCTGCTGATAGTTTGCTGTTCCATTGTGATAAAAGGTATCCTTCCCTGTAGTGACTTGTAAAAAAGGACCAAGGGCTTTATTACAAACATTCTCCCTTCGAAAAGGGAAATAGAGAATCAGTTACTACTCAGCCTTCAGTGTACCTGTGTGTCAGTCTTATATTTCTTTTTTGTTTTTTAATTGTGAATTATATTTGTATATCCAACTGGGAGCACTTTTGGGCACTGTATGAACCATGGAATAATTCTGTGGAAGTATTGCCTTGTGAATTTGCTGCTATTTTAGTTTTGTCTTTGCTGTAAAATTGTAGCATTAAACAATCATTGTTAACAGGCTTTCTTTTGAAAACAATTATGTGAAATACATAGCTGCTCTTGATGAAAAGCAGCTTATTTGCCTTTTTTCCCCTTTGAACTTTGAAGCTAGTGCATTGGAGAAATGCACCCTTTCCCCCCATAATGCTGTATTAATGTAGTATAATTCTTGCTGGTTTTGTAATTTTTCCTGATAATGCCCTTCCCTGAATTTTTAAAAATCTTCTCGCCACCCAAGTTTTGTACTTGATTGTATTGTTAGTCTGTTTTTAACTGTTCTGCCTAGTTTCTCTTCAATATTGGTGTATATAAACTAATCTTGGTGATACTGTACATAGCTGTTTGAAATGCCAGAATGACTTCTGACTATTCCAAGCTTTTCATAAAATATATTTTATCTGTGATTAGCCACTTGACTAATAGTACTGGCTAACAGATAATTGAAAAAAATTTGTTTATTGTTTATTTTTCCTATTGATTTTGGTTTAAGACTTGTTTGCACTTGTCTGTTTGACTTGTGTATTATTAACATTGTTTGGCATATTAAAAGTCACTCTGAGCTTACCTTAATTGTCTAAATCTTTGTGATGCCTATTTTCTGTTATCTCCATTATATATAGAGTACTAAAAGCAGAGGATGTTTTTTTAAATATATTTTATTGATTTTTTACAGAGAGGAAGGGAGAGAGATAGTTAGAAATATCGATGAGAGAGAAACATCAAT